CGTCCTCGCCCGCCGTGGGGGCGGGGGGCTCCCCCAAACCCAGGAGGCAGAGTTGATCAAGAGCCAGCTGAAGGGCGCGCTCGTCTTCCAGCAGCCCTCGGTCCTTAGCGCTTCCCCCGAAACATCCTAGTTCTCCAAAGCCCCCATTTCTTTCCATTATTCCAGATACCACTAGACTAGGCATGGCGAAACAAAAGCTGGGGGAGAGAGAGAGGGAGAGAGAGAGAGGTGGTGGAAGGGAGAAGAGGAGAGAGGAGGGGAGGGGAGAGGAGAGGAGGGGGTGTGTGGGGAGGGGGAACAAAGAGCTGGGGAGGGGGGAAGAAAGCGAGATAGAAAGATAGACCCACCCCTAAGCCCCCCTCCCCAAGCACCCTGTAACCTGACTCCCCTCGCCCCAGCCCCCGGGTGGGGGTGGGGGAAAAGAAGCAAAACCAAGAAAGCAGATCTCCTCTCCTCCGGGGTGACGGGGTGGGGTGGGGGGCTGCGGGCCCTGGCCCCCACCCCTCCGCCTCGGAGTCTCTACCCTCCGCCGAGCAGACGCCCCCTTAGGCTCCCGCACCGAGCCCCAGTCCCGGAGCGTCGCTCAGTGGCCCCCAATAGAGCCCAGCCCCTTCCAGCGCTCAAACTCTTTTGTTTTAAATGAACTGGATGGAGCAGCATGGAACTGACGGGAGGGGGGCGCGCCGGGGGCGCCCGGGGCATGCCGGGAGTTGTAGTTTCCCGCCCTCGGGCGCGGGGACGAATTCGGGCAAGGAGGGGATGCGCCCCTCGGGCTCTGCCTACCGCTCACGGGCAAAGCCTCGGGTGGGCTGGGAGTCGTGGTCCGGGAATTTGCAGGAGCCGGCGGTATGCGGGAAGGGAGCGGGCGTGGAAAGACGTCGTCCCCCCGGCCCCGCGGGTCCCGGGCCTTTTTCTTATGGTAATGAGGGCCGGGGCGGAGCGGCCGCGTGGCTGCAGTGTCCTCCCTCCTCCCCGCGCGATCGCGGAGTCCACAGGCTCAGGCCTCCGGGAGAGCGCTCGCGGAGCAGACAAAGCCCGCGGCCGCTATGGTGGGAGGAGCAGGTCTCCGAGCTGCGTGGGGGCCGGGAAGGGGCGGTGGGGAGGGGTGGGGACCCCTGGAAGAGGTTGTGGTCCCCTCATCTCTTAAGTAAATCATCCCCCCCCTCCAGCCCCCCAGTTCCGGGATCTCAGAGACCGCGGCTTGGGAGGTGAGTTAGTTCGCGTCCCCCCCCCCCCGTGGCCCGTGTGCAGTGGCCGGGTGAGGAAGAGGAGGCGCGGAGGGAGAGGATGGGGGTGGGGGGCTGAGCAGGGAGCCCGGAAGGGTCCTAAAGGCTTCGTGTGACTTAGTTTGGGGCCTTGGACTTGGCTAGATTGGGAACCCAGATTTCCTTCATTCCGGAGCCACGAATCCAGTGGAGGAGGTCATTTGTCCCTTGGGATTGTCATTCCGCTGTTTCACTGGCCTCTTACTTTTATTAACCCATAATTCAGCCCCTTTGAACCTAGAGATCTGTTGAAAGAGATCAGAAATAAGTTTTTAAGACTTGACCGAGAGTTGAGAGGGAGTTAGATTGTATTGCAGTCTCTTCTGCTCTACCCTGTATCCTCAGCACTTCCCCCACTTGGATAGCAGTAAGTGGGTATGTCCCGGTGTGTAGGATGTCTTTTTTTTTTTTTTTTTTTTTTGGTCTGGAATGCTTTGGGAAACAGAGATCTGAATTAGTCATGTAGTTAGGTTTTGCGTAAAGATAGGGCGGTGAATTGAGGTAGCCTCACAGACCGGGCACAGTGAGGCCGGGAGGGCTAAGTTTAGGCCCAGTTCCCTAAACTGCTTCTTGGAAAGAGGGAGCTCGCCCATCAGGAGGAGGGCAGGAGTCTGAGCAGAGTGCCGAGTGGTGGGAGGGGCTGGTGGCTTATGCCCAGCAGGCAGGCTTTTCCCTTTCAGTGGTGCAGAATCTTGGGCTGAGGAACCTGGGAAGCCGGGCGGGGGAGGGGGTGCCCCTGCATGGAGGGTTGAACAGTTTATCAACACGTTTTGTGGGATTGGATGCTCCTGCCCTCCAGCAGGGGTGGGAGGGGACTGCTGAGTGGCCCTGCTGACTCCTGCTGTCTCTGTCCCGGGAGCCTGGACTAGTGCCGGGGAACATGGGAGTTTCTTAGGGGAAAGTTCCTGCTGGGGACCAGGTGACAGTGGAGCCAGCAGCTGCCCTCCCAGAAACAAGATCCCCCCCAGAGTTTGCCCTGTCTCTGCCCTCCTCCCCACTAAACCAATTAAGGCGGGAGGTTAATGACCAAAAAACGCCTTGGGGATTTGGTCAGGGAAGAAAACAAAGTGCAGAACCTTGAGTGGGGACCGGGATGGCGGCTAAAGGGGCAAGGGGCAGGCTGAAGGTGGAGTGAGTAAGGTGGCACCCCCTGGACCCACATTTCCGCACTAGAGCCCCCCTGCATCAGGGATGCATCAGTCCTTAGCACACACACCCACACACAAAAGGTCATGCTCTTACTCCAGACATCCTCCAAGGCCCAAGAGAGCACTTGTGAGCTTGGAGGGCAAGGTGTGTGTGGACGACTCAGGTGTAGCCCCGGGAACAGGTGTCTGCAGCTGACAGGTGCAGAGGGGCCGTGGGGGCTCTTGCTCCTGAGGCGGAGGCCTCCCTTGGTCAGGCTAATGCTACCCAGTCTGGGCTGCTGTGCACTGGCCCCGCTTAGCTTCCCTGCCCTGGTGGCCATCGTCACCCAGGGCTATGAGGGCAGAGGCCTGTCTTATGCCACTCCCTCTGCCCAGTGACAGAAGGGTGTGGAGGGTGTGTGTTGGTCCCCTTCCGGACCCTGAGGGTGTCTTTCTCTCTCTCCTCTCTGTGTGTGTCTCTCTATTCCTGTCATTGTCTTTCTCTCCCCCCCCCCCAGTCTTCCAGTTCCTATTTTCATGATAAGGAACCAAAGGACTTTGTTGTTGTTGAATTGGCTGTGAGCATGAGATCCTTGTGTGTGTGTGTGTGTGTGTGTGTGTGTGTGTGTGTATACATGTATGGGGTGCAGGGCAGGAAAGGTGACCCAGTGGGACTCGGTCCCTGTGGAAGGCCAATGACAGGTGTGTGGTGGAAAGTGCATATTGTGAGACCTCTTTCCCTGTCTGCTGTGAGCAATCTTTTTGTTGTTGTCTGGTTTAGTTTGGTTTGGTTTGGTTTTTTTAAGACATGGGTTTCTCTCTGTAGCTTTGGAGCTTGTCTTGGAACTCGCTCTGTAGCCCAGGCTGGACTCGAACTCACAGGGATCCGCCTGGCTCTGCCTCCCGAGTGCTGGGATTAAAGGCGTGCGCCACCACCGCCCGGCTACTCTGAGCAGTCTTGAGTGCCCGTTCTTGGCTGTCTACATAGTAAGTACCACAGTCGGACACTTTACAACACTTTAAACCAGCCTCGTGCCTATTAATCCCAGCACTGAAGAGGCTGACGAGTGAGGACCACAGGAGGTTGAGGCCAGCCTGGTCTATAGAGTGATACTCTGACTCAAACAAACAAACAAAAAACCAACAAGAGAGGCGGAGACTAAGATACTTGGTACCGAACCCTCTGACCTGGGCTGGATCCCTGGGACACACAGTGGAAGGAGGGAACTGACTCCCACAAACAGTGCTCTGATCTCCACACAGCACTGTGGTATGTGTCCCTCCCAGCAACAAATGTTTGTTTGTTTTTGTTTTTCAAGACAGGGTTTCTTTGTGTAGCTCTGGCTCTCCTGGAACTCACTCTGTAGGCACACACCTAACACCTGAGGCCTGGGGAGGGAGGGAGACACAGGAGGCTGCACCAAGCCACACCAAGCAGGCTAGCCTCAGTTTACCCCCTACCCCTCCCTGTTGCCCTACTCCTCACAGGCTGCCTCAGTTCGGCCTCCCTCCCATGCGTTGTGAGGTTTCCACTCTCCTTATTCTTACTCAGTTGCATGTTATTTATATGGTATGCACATGCTACAGCACACACGTGAAGGTCAGAGACTGTGTGGGCACAGATTCCATTTCCCTCTACCTTGTGAGTCCTGGGGATTGAACTCGGGTTGTCAGGCTTGGCAGCAAGCTGCTTTATCCACTGAGCCATCCTGGTGCCCTTTTTTATTTTGTTTCATTTTTCGAGACAGGGTTTCTCTGTATAGCCTTGGCTGTCCTGGAACTCACTCGGTAGAGCAGGCTGGCTTCGAACTCACAGAGATCCACCTGCTTCCCTTCTAGAATTAAAGGCATGAGCCTGGCTTGATGGCTTTTTTTTTTTCTTTTTTAGACAAGGTCTCACTCACTGAGACCGGCCTTGAACTCCAGTCTCCACCTCCTAAGTACTGGTATTACGTATTTGCGCCTCTTTTCCTTTTTTTATTTTATTTTATTTTGGTTTTTTGAGACAGGGTTTCTCTGTGTAGCTTTACGCCTTTCCTGGAACTCACTTGGTAGTCCAGGCTGGCTCTGCCTCCTGAGTGCTGGGATTAAAGGCGCGCGCCACCACCCGCCTGATTGTTTTCCTTTCTTAATACCTCTTGTTGGAAACACACCTGGATGTCTAGCCTCTGCCTTTTCTTGCTGAAAATGTGCAGTTAATTTTCTCCCTTAGGCTGGAATGCCCTCAGTGTGTTAATTTCTTTAGAACGGTTTTTCAGTATTTATGTTTTTTTGTGTATGTATGTGAGAGAGATTTGTGTGTGTGTGTGTGTGTGTGTGTGTGTGTGTGTGTGTGTACACCACAGCACATATGCAGGAGACCAAGGACAACTTGAGGAAGTTCCAGGGGTTAAACTCAAGAACTCAAGACCTCAGACTTGGTGGTAAGCTTCTTTACCTGGGAGCCTTCTGACCTGCCCACAACTTATTTCAACTAATGAGAATATGCTGGCTAAAATTCTGCACTGTGTGAAAGTGATCTCAGACTTGATCCCTGCTCTCATGGAAATGTAGGAACTGGCCTACATGGCCAAAGAGGATAAGTGAGGGCAAAACCATCTCTGGGGCTTGAAGAGCCACCAAACTTGGCAGGAAGGGTAGGTGACTGGCCCCTTAGTCTCTCGGCCTGATCTCCAAGCCCTGCGCAGCCCCCATGCTTGGGCCTGAACAGACAACGTTTCTGCTCCTCACTGCCAGATCGCCCACACTATCTGACTCCCCCAGGGATAGCAACAACAAGGGGCTGGGGTGGAGCCTGGGCCCCCAGGACAGCTGGCTAACAAGGCCCCTCTGGGACTCCAGTCTGGGCCCCAGCATTCAGGAGGCAGCGATACTGGAGCTGTGACAGTTGGCCCTTAGAGTCCCCACCCCGTGGCGCCAGCTCTGGTTTCGGGCTGGGTGAGGGAGGGGATTAGTTGCCCTCCTGGGACGGGGAGGCAGTAAACATGGCTCCCTGTGAGGACTTTTCCTCCCTGGGGCCCCACGCTAGGGTGGATGTGAGGAGGGGTTTGGGCCAGGGTGACTTGTGTAGTGTAGACTGTCATGTGCAGGAGGTCAGGGCGGGCGGGCGTGGAAGGCATGTGAAGTCTGACCCTTCTCATTTGCACACTCGGGTTCTGAGACTCCCTTCTGCCTCCTGTACAGGTCTGCTTCCTTTTCAGAAAAGGGAAGAGGAAGTCAGAAAGGGGAGTGAGAAAGACCCTTCCATTTCCTGAAGGTTCTCTTCTTAGATTCTTCAAACTTTGTATTTAATCTTCAATTGTTATTTTATTGCATGTATTTAATGTGTGCATGTACTGTATTTATCCTGAATGTGGAGGTCAGAGTTGCTCTCCTATTGTGAAGGTCCCAGGGACTGAACTCAAGGCCTTAGTGTACTGGGCCACCTAACCTGACCTTTGATATCATTCAATCTTCGCAATTCCATGGAACTGTAATTTCTTTTCTTTCCTTTTCTTTCTTTCTTTCCTTCCTTCCTTCTTTTTTTTTTTTTTTTTTTTTTTTGGTTTTTTGGTTTGGTTTGGTTTGGTTTGGTTTGGTTTTTTTCGAGACAGGGTTTCTCTGTGTAGATTTGCGCCTTTCCTGGAACTCACTTGGTAGCCCAGGCTGGCCTTGAACTCACAGAGATCCGCCTGGCTCTGCCTCCCGAGTGCTGAGATTAAAGGTGTGCGCCACCACCGCCCGGCCCTTCTTTTTTTTTTTTTTAAGACAAGATTTCTCTGTAGCTTTGGAGCCTGCCCTGGATCTTGCTCTGTAGTCCAGGCTGGCCTCGAACTCACAGAGATCCACGTGGCTCTGCCTCCCGAGTGCTGGGATTAAAGGCGTGCGCCACCACCGCCCGGCTTGGAACTGTAATTTCTATCAGTGCTTGACATCAAGAGATCTGAGGCTCAGAGGTTACACAGCTGGTCCGTGGAAATGCCACTGTTCGAAATTAGCGTTGTCTGACTCCAGCCCTGGGCCCCCAGAGGTGGACAGTGGCATTCAGTGCTTGGAGACCTCAGAGGAGTGACATTTAAAGCTGGAGCCGTTTGGGGATACTTCCTGGCTGAGGCCGGTCTGTTGGAACCACTAAAGGGGTGAGGGTCACAGGGAGGGAGAGAGGGGGAGTGTTTCTGGGGGTTGTGTGGGAGCTGCTGCTGCTGAGACGGTTGCTCACTTTCACCCATTCTGGGAGTATGTGTGGCCACCAGGGGGCGCTGCAGACCAGTCACCTCTGCCTCCCAGTGGTCAGGCGGGCCAGGACCCAGGTGCCGCCTGCCTGTGGAACCCATTGGTCTGTGCTCTGCCCCTCCATTTTGGGCAGGACATCCCACACGTGGAAGACAGGAGATCTTGATAGCAGTCTATTCCAGATTCAGAATGGAAACCCTAGGGGGCAGAGACCCGCCAGCAGCTTAGTCTGCCTTCCTGCCCAGTGCCTTCCTGAGTCCCTTGGAGAAACTACTGTTCAGGGGAATTGTGAAGGATGCAGGCGTTTGAGTCCAGCTGGCTGGGTCTGCAGGGAAGTAACAACTACCTGATGAAGATTTGAAATGTTTCATCCAGTGAGCATTGAGCATTGATTGAACTTTTTTGTGCTGCACATTGTCCTAGGCACTGGGCAGACACCAGAGGACAAGGAGGGCGAAACCTGCCCTGGGGTGAAGCCAGTCTTCTGTAGGGTGTTGGGGAGGTGGCAGCGTGTGAAGAAGTAGATGGTGTCCTTCTGGTAGTGACAGTCACTGTGAAGGAAATAAAGCAGGGGGTGGAGGCAGAAGGATCTGAAGTGGTTTGTTTTGGGGGGCTTCTATTGTTTGTTTTTGGGACAGAATCTCACCGTGTAGTCCCGGCTGACCTGGAACTCACTATGTAGACCAGGCTGGCCTCCAGCTCAGAGACTTGCCTGCCTCTGACTCCTGTGGAGTGCTGAGATTAAAGATGTATGCCACCATACTGGGCTCCTTTTGTTTTATTTTATTTGATGGGGCTGTAGCCCCATCTGGCCTTGAACTTTCTGTATAGCTAAAGAGGACATCAAAGTCCTGACTTCCTGTCCCCTCCTCCCAAATGCTGAGACTATTGGCATGTTCCACCACACCTGCCTGAGAAACCAGGGTCCCTGGGGCGTTTCTCTGGGTGCCTGTAAAGCAGCAAGGTGGCTGCCTTTGTGGGTGCTAGTGTTACTGTTGACTTGTTCCTTTTGGGTACTCTCCTTCCCTACACTACCTTTTCTTTCTCTGGAATCCTTCACACTTCTCCCAACAGCCCTACATGGTGAACAGGCACTGGCTTAGGAACTAAGAGCCCCAACTTTTTAATTCTGGCTCTGTCCCCAAAAGGTCCCCCACCCCCAGCATTCCTAAGTTCCAATAAGTGACATCACCACCCACCTGGTTGCTCAAGCCCGAAAACTGAGCCATCTGGGATTTCTGCTTTCCTCTGACTTGAACCCAGTGCCTCGACAAGGCCTAAATGAAACCTCAAGAGTATTTCCTGCCAGGCTGGAGAGATGGTTCAGTGCTTAAAAGTGCTGGCTGTTCTTCTAGAAGACCTGAGTTCAATTCCCAGCACCTACGTGATGGCTCACAACCTTCAGTTTCAGGGGATCCAAAGTCCTGTTCCGGCCCCTGTGGGCACCAGGCACACGTGTTGTGTGGACATACATGCAGGCAAAACAACCAGACATTTAAAATAGAAAATTTCCTGGCATGCATGGTGATGTAATCTGTAATCCCAACACTTGAGAGGTGGAGGCAGGAATCAGGAGATCAAGAGTAGTTGCATCTATATACCAACCTTGAGGAGGATACATGAGACCCTGTCAACAATATTTAAAAACAGAAAATGCTACTTGAATGTTCTCTGTTGCTGTCTGTCCATCCAGCTCCCTGGTGTGTAAAGAGTGTCCTTTGTGGCCTGGTTCCTGTCCAGCTGGACCAGCTGTTCCTGTCCTCACTCTCTCCCTCTGCATAATGCTTGTTCATCTGGCAGGACAGAACTTGACTTGGATGGCACCTCCCATAAACCTCCCCTGTCACCTCTGCGTGTCCATTTGCTACACTGTACAGTACCTGCCTTCGTTTGCTCCTTCACTACACCGGAAACTCCTGGAAAGCTGAAGTCTGATCTAGTGCACTCCTGTGATCCCGGCATCTGGTACATAGACACTCGATGTACAGCAGCTGGACACGTTCCTCTCTCCTTGAACATCCCCCGTCACATACCCACTGCCAGATGTTCAACTGCTGCTTCCCACCATACCTCCCATTCCAGCACCTCCACCCCTGGCCCTCGGTCCTCCGGCCAGCAAGGGGTACTGTCTGCATGAGATTTGCCGTGTAATGTCCTGGGTCCCTCTGCTCTGCAGCACCTAATCTGGAGCTCCCAGACTACGAATGCCATCCATGGTGCTCATTCTCTTTGGCTGATGACTCAGAAGTGATGTCAGAGCATACCCTTTCCCTCGGCCCTGGCAGGTAGAGAATGCTAAAACAAAGTATGAGTGGCTTGCTTTTCCTTTCAGACCTCGCTGGGGATCACGTGCTCTGGCATGACGTGCACACCTCCCGAGGCTGCGCTGGCCCCTTGTGCTTACGCTTCCTTTGCACTCAGCTCGTGTGTTAAAAACCAGTTTGCATGGTCTGCATGCCACGCCAGCCTGAGAGCTGTCTTGGGATGTCACCCGGGTGTCTCTAAAGTCTGGCACACAGCAGGTCCTGTCGACAAATGTGTTTGTGAAGTCAATGAATGAATAAAAGAAGAAAGAGTCACTTGCCATCCTTTGGCCACAGGTGTGTGTGTGTTGATGATGTCTGTGGGTGAATATGTACAACATGGGAGCCAGAGGAGGGGGTCCAGTGTCCTATGCCTCTGCCTTATTTCCTGGAGACAGGGTTTCTCCCTGGCCCTGAGCTAGGCTGGAGCCAGCAAGCACCAGCGATGCTATCTGTGCTCACACAGCACTGGAGTGACGGGCATGCGTGCTTTTACCATGTGCTAGAGATATGAACCCCGGCCCCCAGGCCTGAGCAGCAGGCGCTCTTTGTTCTTGAGACAGGGTCTCAAAACCTTAGTTTTCCCTCCTGTGAACTGAGGACTAGAGGAGCATGGGACATCCTCTGGTGTTCTGGAGTCTGGGATTCTGACAGGTGTTTAGCAACCAGGAAGGGAAGAAGCCCTGATTTGTAGCAATTGCCAGTTCCCAAGATGAAGTCTCTCCCTGTGACTGCAGTGTGAGCAGTGGGCTGTCGCTAACATACAGGAGCCGCCCATCTCCAGCTCAGCACTGAGGGCATGTGTTCCCGCAGAGACAGACGGTGATTCCCAGGTCCTGCACTCGACTCCCTCAGCTGCGGCTTCCCCAGGAGCCCGAGGGTTAGATGTCAGCTTGCTTCCTGCACATAGTTCCAGAAGTTAGAGAGCCTGCTTGGTGTCTCTTCACTTGTGTCTGTAAGCCACAAATGCTCTTCCAGGCAGGTGATTGTCCAACAGCATTCACTGTTGATTGGTTGGCCCGAGTCCTGATGTTCAAAGCTAGGCACACGGATACTGACCAACAGCTTGGGATGCTGTGTTCTGTGGCCGACCTGTCTACCCGGCTAAGTAAGGCAGGAGTTCAGGCCCGGTTTCTAACTCCTTTGACTTCTGACCTCTGACCCTGCTCATGTCAGTCTGACCCTCAGAATGCCTCTTTCCTTCCCTAACTTGGCTCGCTCGCCTATCCTTCCGCTGTCCACATAGCCCACCATTTCCTTTCTTCTCCCTTCATTTCTTCCTGGCTGTCCAAGCAGGAGCTTGCAGGTGAGGGTACCTCTTCACCACCGATGAACACTCGGCCCTGCGTCTCTGAGCCTGAGTTCCGAGTCTATAAAGTGGAAAGAAGAGTAGCAGTTGTTGGGGGCGGGGCAGGGGGATTATTGTGGCCATTGGGAAGCAACATGCTAAATACTGAAGGCACCAAGTACACAGGAAGTGTTTGGTAAGAGGCACGGTGGGTCGGGTGGCCAGAGCGCATGTATTTAATCCCAGCGCTCCGGAGGCGGAGGCAGGCCGATCTCCAAGTTCAAGGCCAGCCTGGTTGACATAGTGAGCTCCAGGACAGCCAGGGCTACACAGAAAAAAAGATAAAGGGCTTAATAAATGTTGGTGTTTTTGTTTTGTTGTTGAAACAGGGTCTTGCTCTATAACCCAGGCTGGCCTCAAACTCAGTGATCCTCCTGCTTCAGCTTCCCAAATGCTGGGATTACAGGTGGGAGCTGCCAGGCCTGACTATATTGACTACTTAAAATAAGTTTTTCATTCATTTGTTTATTTTGCGTGCGTACATGGGTGCCTACCTGCCGCGTGTGGTAGGGAGGACAACTCGTGGGGGTCCCGGTGTCTTTAGGCTTGGAGCCATTCATTACTCACCCGGCCATCTCGCCAGCCTTGTGTTGGATTGTGTTCAAAACTCAGTTTAATCCCTCAGTGGGCAAGGGGCTTGGTATCTGCCCTCCCTCACCCCGCTCGGCTTAGCAGGAGCTCCCCGCTTACTCCGCGAGGATAGGATACTCGTTGTTCCGTGGACGAATGGAGGAATGAACCAACACTTGGGATGACTCCCTGAAAACCGCGAGACCCGCGAAGAAGGTGGAGCTTCTCCCAACCCTGCCAGCAGGTGGCGCCAGCCCCTGTCAGTTTGTTTCCCCGGCCAACTCCCTTGTGTTTGCGCTTCTCACGCTAAGGGTTCTCAGCTTGCTCTGGAATGATGGGGTCTTGAGAGCAGATATGGGATGCCCAGGAAGAAAAAGGATACTGCTGGAGAAAAGTGTCATCCCAGCCGGGCAGTGGTGGTGCATGCCTTTAATCCCGGCACTCGGGAGGCAGAGGTAGGCGGATGTCTGAGTTCGAGGCGAGCCTGATCGAGACAGGCCAGCTAGAGCTACACAGAAAAACCCTGTCTCTAAAAACAAACAAACAAAAAAGTGAAGTGTCATCCGGAGAATAAGGGGCACAGACAGACCTTGAGAGTCCCGAAGAGACGAGCTCTCTTGGGGACACGAAATGAGAGGCACTTAAGTCAATCTGTGAGTCAAAAGCTGAGATCTAGGAAACAGACACTTTGTGGGAGATGATGCGGTGAAATCAATCAGCGAAAGAGGAAAGGGGAGGCCCCGTTTCCATGGCAGCGGTATTGTTTGTGGCAAAGTGGGGACTCCTGGGTCTCTAGTGCCCATGAACAGTGACTCATCACAGGAAAGGAAAGCTGTAGAGGGATCTGGTGCTGGGCACCGACTGGGGACCGGATGTCCTGTGGCTCCGGCATTCTTCCCCACGCTGGTACTGGGAAAGGATTGAAGTTTGGAGGAACTGAGGCAGGGCAGAGGCCTGGGGCTGTGCATGCCACCCACGCCCCAGCCCACGGGTCACCGCTTTTTAGAATTACTGTCTTGCATACCTTTGATCGTAGCACTCAGGAGGCAGAGGCAGGCAGATAACTGAATTTGGGGCCAGCCGGGTCCACAGAGCAAGTTCAAGGACAGCCAGGGCTACGCAGAGAAACCCAGTCTTGGAAAGACCAAATACCAAATAAATAAATAAATAAAAATGGAATTACTGTCCCACTGGACAGGGGAGGAAACTGCCACCCTGGTCCATACTGTGAGAACATGAACAGTAAAGCTGGGCATAGAGCCCAGGACAGTGTGACTCATACCACGTTTGGGAAAATCCAGAAAGCAGACAAAGGTGAACAGAGCTTGGCTGTTGAAAGGATGACCAGGAGCTGGACACAGGGAAGGACTCCATGGCTCTCTACCCCACTTGCCTACTGCCCTGTGTGAACACAGCTCCCTCTGGAGGACCCCATTTGGCACACCTGCAAAATAAGAGAACTAGACTGGAAACTGTTATTTAAAAAAAAAAAATTAGGCAGAAACAGGAGTGTGGCTGCAAGCGTGAGACCGGCTTGGTCTAGATAATGAGTTCTAGACCAGCCTGAGCTACACAGTGAGACCCTGACTCACAAATCAAAATGGGGGGTGAGGTGGGCTAGAGAGGTGGCTGTGTGGTCAAGAGCGCTGGCTGCTCTTCCAGAGGCCCTCAGTTCTAGTCCCAGCACCCACATGGTGGCTCACAGCAGTGGTCCGTAACTCCAGTTCCAGGGGATTCAACACGGTACACTGACTAACCTACATGCCGACAAAGACACATAAAATAAACCTTTAAAAAAAAAATTGAAATTAAAAGCCTGGCTCTTGTGGTGCACGTCTTCAATCCCAGCAGTTGGGAAGCAAAGGCAGGCAGATCTCTTGAGTTCAAGGCCAACCTGGTCTAAAGAGTAAGTTCTAGGACAGCCAGGGCTACACAGAGAAACCCTGTCTCAAAAAACAAAACAAAAAAATAAAAACAAGAAAGGGGGCTGTAAAAATAGCTACACACACACACACACACACACACAGTACACATACATACATGCAGGCAAAAGACTCATACAAATAAAATAAATGAAGTTTTTCATTAAAAGAAATGTACTGAACAAATTATCTCTAAGATCACAAATTAAGGGGGGGCGGGCGGGAGGGCTGGTTTAGTGGTTAAGAGCTCTTCCGAAGAACTCAGGTTCAGTTCCCAGCACCCAGGGGCTGGGTGGCTCACCACAACCATCTGTAACTCATGCATGAGGTGCACAAGCAGGACACCAATGCACATTAAAACAAAACAAGAGGCTGGCAAGATGTGTGAATGGAGACCCGAGTCCCCAGCCCTAGAAGCCACATAAAGGTGGAAGAGAAAACCGAGAGTTGTCCTCTGGCCTCTACACACGAGCGCCACCTTGAGGAGGCAGGCAAACTTCACGGCCTGGCGTAGGCTAGAAATCGCGGTAAGCCCACCTTTTTCCATCCCAAGAGAGCAGACCCCAATTCTGGTCCAGCCAAAATCCCTTGTCCCACACTCTCTGTCCTGGTGGAACAGGACTGGCGGTAAGGGAGAGGGGCCGTTCTGTCTGCATGCCTGCCAACCGCCCCGTCCTCGATAGCACGGGGGTTCCCGTCTCCCCTAGCTGTTGTCAGGATAGTTTCATTCTTTATCAAGACGTGTTTTATTCAGTTTACATACCAACCACAGATCCCCCTCTCGTCCCCCCTCCCGCCCTCCCCCTATAGTTTCATTCTTGTTCAGCAGTGGGGCCCCTATTGTTTCAGGACAAAATGAGTATCCCCATCCACCCCAGGTCTCGATGGAGAGAAGGCTAGCCCCTCAGTCCCCCTTCCCTGTCAGGAGAACTGATGCAGGTAGGAAGAACCTTTAAAGTGTGATAGCTGGGCGACAGTGGCACACTCGTGACTTTTTGTTTAACTTAAAAAAAAAAAAGGGGGGGGGGGACTGGAGAGATGGCTCAGAGGTTAAGAGCACCGACTGCTCTTCCAGAGGACCTGAGTTCAATTCCCAGCAACCACATGGTGGCTCACTACCATCTGTAATGAGATCTGGCGCCCTCCTCTGTATACATAATAAGTAAATAAATCTTTAAAAAAAAAAAGCTAAAAAAAAAAAGCCAGGTGGTGGTGGCGCAGCCTTTGACCCCAGCACTTGGGAGGCAGAGGCAGGCGGATCCCTGTGAGTTCGAGGCCAGCCTGGTCTACAGAGTGAGTTCCAGGACAGCCAGGGCTACACAAAGAAACCCTGTCTTGAAAAACAAAAACAAACAAACATTTGTTTGTTGCTGGGAGGGACACATACCACAGTGCTGTGTGGAGATCAGAGCACTGTTTGTGGGAGTCAGTTCCCTCCTTCCA